GGCCTGTATCTCTGTATACTTCCCTCTTAGGACTGCTTTTGCTGCATATCCCAAATGTTTTGGACCACTGTGTTTTCATTTTTATTTGTTTCCAAGTATTTTTTTAAATTTCTTTTTTGATTTCCTGGTTGACTCATTCATTGTTTACTAGCATATTGTTTAACCTCTAGTATTTGTTGTCTTTCCATAGTTTTTCTTGTGGCTGACATCAAGTTGCACAGTGTTGTGGTCAAAAAAGATGCATGGTATGATCTCAATCTTTTTGTACCTGTTGAGGATTCATTTGTGACCTAGTATGTGATTTATTCAGGGGAATGTCCCATGTGCACTTGAAAAGAATGTGTATTCTGATGTTTCAGGATGGAATGCTCTGAATATATCAGAATGTTAAGTCCATTTGGTTCCACATGTCATTCAAATCCATTGTTCCCTTGTTTAACTTTTTGTATAGATGATATGTCCACTGATATAAGTGGGTAAAAAAGTCTCTTCCTCTTACTGTATTATTATCAGTGGGTTGCTTTATGTTTGTTAATTGTTTTATATATTTGGGTGCCTCCATTTTGGGTGCATAATAACCTCCAACTGTCAGATCTTTTTGGATAGACTCCTTTATTATGATATAGTGTCCTTCTTCATCTTTTGTTAGAGTCTTTGGTTTAAAGTTTACTTTGTCCGATATAAGTATTGCTACTTCAGCTTTATTTTGGTGTTCACTTGGGTGATAAAATATTTCTCTATCCTGTCACTTTCAAGGCACAGGTGTGTTTAGGTCTAAAATGAGTCTTGTAGGCAGCATATAGATGGGTCTTGTCTTTTTATCCAATCTGACACGCTATATCTTTTGATTTGAGCATTTAGTCCATTTTCACTCAGAATAACACTGATAGATATGTATTTAGTGCCATTTTATTACTTCTTTTGTCATGGTTTCTGGAGATTTTCCTCTCCTTTCTTATTTCTGTCACTTTGGTCTTTCCTTTCTACTCAGAGTTCCCTTTAGGATTTCTTGCAGGGCTGGTTTAATGGTCATAAACTCCATTAATTTTTGTTCATCTGGGAAATTCTACCTTTTCTTTTATTCTGAATGATAGCCTTGCTGGATAGAATATTCTTAGCTGCAAATTTTTCCCATTCAGCACTTTGAATACATCACGCCAGTCTCTTCTGACTTGGAAAGTTTCTGCTGAGAAATCTGCAGCTAACCTTATGAGTGTCCTTTGTAAGTTAGGGACATCCTTTGTCTTGTTGCTTTTAAGATTTTTTTCTTAATTGGTATATTTTGCAAATTTAATCACAATGCCTTAGTGCTGGCTTACTTTTCTTGATTTTGATGGGAGTTCTCTGTGCCCCCTGGGTATTTAGAGAAATTTCTGCCCCCTTTTTTCTCTTCTACTGAGACTCCTATGATATGAATGTTATGATGTTTGATGGAGTAATTGAGTTCCCTATGTATATTCTCATATTGCATAATTCTTCTTTCTTTTTTCTTTTTAATATTTTACTTATTTCTGAGAGAGATAGCATGAACAGAGGAGGGTCAGAGAGAGAGGGAGACACAGAATCTGAAACAGGCTCCAGGCTCTGAGCCAGCACAGAGTCCGATGCGGGGCTCGAACTCATGAACCGTGAGATCATGACCTGAGCTGAAGTCGGACGCTTAACCAACTGAGCCACCCAGGCGCCCCTCTTCTTTCTTTCTTTTATTCAGCTTCATTACATTTCATTATTTTATCTTCTATGTCACTTAGTTGTTCCTCTGCTTCTTCCATCCTGGTGTTCATTACATCAAGCCTGTTTTGAATGTTACTGCATTTTTTCATTTTTGTTTTTAATTCTTTTACCTCTGTGGTAAGGGCCTCCCTGAAGTCTTCCATTCTTTTCTCAAGCCCAGTAAGTATCCTTACGATTGTTGCTTCAAATTCTCCAATGGGCACATTACTTATATCTGTTTCTCTTAGATCTCTGGCCATGACTTTGTCTTCTCCTTTCATTTGGGATAAATTCCTCTGTCTTAGCATTTTATTTAAGTTTCTATCCTCTTCTGTATGTTAGAAAAGTCCACTAGGTTTCCTTCTTCTAAGAATTATGGCTTTATGAAGAAGAGATCATATAGTGCCCAGGGCCTGGCACTTCAGAGTGTGCTGTGTGCACTCTGCTGTTCCATTTTGGCTGCTGTATCCTTCACGCCAGTTGTCTGCCTTGCCTGCAGTGCAGTGTTCGCGTTTTGGTCAGAATGTGTCAAGTCTTAACCAGGTATATTCTGATCTGCTTGCTAAATGAGATATGATACTACTTCAACCTGAACTAAAGTCCTGTGGAACTCTCTGGTTTAGAGCTGTGGTGTGGGCAGGGGTTTCTGCTGGTGTTCTGTGGAAAGGGTCCACCATGCTGGGACTAAGGAAAGCTTGACTGGGAAGGGAAGTAGTGTCAGGGCCCAGGGGTGGGGGTCTTGGTTTAAGTAGGTTAGGCAGCCAGTGTTGATGCTGTGCTGCTTCCCACAAATGGTTTGTGTTTATGCTGAGGAGCAGGGGAAGGAAATGGTACCAGCTCCTTTGTTCAAGGAAAGGAGTCTCTGTGCAGGCTGCCTCTCAGGGAAGCAAGCTGAGAAGAGTGAATTATCTTCCCTCTATGTGTTCTAGGCATTTTTCAGACTACTGTATCCACACTGTCTGCCTCCAAGTTGTCAGCCTGGCTTCTTTCAAGGAGCAATGTGGTGCCTTCTGCGCCTTATCACAGCCAAGCCTGCTGACCTTAAAACTCTAGGCTCTAGGGATGAGTGGTGGGGAGGGGCCTGCCACTGGTCTTCTGGGGGAGGGTGTTACCTAAGCAGAAATTCTTAAGTTTCTAAAAAGACAAAAGTCCTATGATATACTGCCCTAATCAATCTGAGTACTTAACAGAGTTAAATAAGGCTTTAAAGTAGTTGTATTGGCAGAAAAACCTAGTGTAGTATAAGAGTTCTGTCTCAACTGCTATGCAACTCCCAGATTTTGTACCTATACTCATACACAAGTGGGCTAAAAAGGGAGTAGAGCTTCTAGCGAGGGAATTCTCTCCAATAATCCTAAAGATGATACAGGAAAACATGAAACAAAGAAAACTTCATTGGTAGGCTGACTCTGGGGACTCTTTGGAATAAGTTAACCAATTATGTCAATCCATTGCTAGGGAAGTAAATCAATGAAAAGAGACTAAATTAGGTTAACTTTGTTATTCTTATGCAGTAGAATGTAGAAAATTACATGGAATAAGTGATAGCTACTTTGCTGTTTTTGCTTTTTTGAACTGTTATTTTAAACTGCAGTTATTGTTTTTTGCTCCTATTACTTTACATGAAGTATGTCAGATATTTCTATATTTTTAATTTAGTGTACAAGTGAATTTACATCCCTATCTGAGATAAAATGGACACCAATCAGCAAACGTTAACCTTGGAGAGGAGAGCCACTTCTAGGCATGGCACGTGGGACAGAGATGAGTATATCAGTGGTTATAAATGGAAAATTGTACTAGGTTCAGCAAAAGCACTGTTTGAACAGGATGGAGAAAGGGTGTGTGTGTATTCAGACAACAAAGAAATGAATATCCATTGCTCTATCAGAAAAAAAACCCTTTTCTGTGAGAACTATATTTTATTCATTCTTGAGGAAACTTTCTTATTTACATTTCAACCAAGTGTGTGCTGTCAATTACGGTATTTCATCCTTCCATGATACAAATCAGAATCCTGCCCCGTAATATACTAAATTCAAAGTTAAGAAAGGAAATACTCTGGGTGACAAAATTGAACATATGAAGTAATGCTGCTAATAATCATGTATCTAGCCATGTAAAAGAATACTGTTTTAAGGAATGCAGTTGACATGCAATATAATGCAGAGACAAAAAAGAATAAAGTGTCCTGCTGATAACTTCATTTTAAGTGTGGCCTTGTCTTTTTTTCATAAGCCAGTCAGATTTGCTGTCACTTGCAACTACAAGAGTCCTGACACTATTCTCTTAGAAAAAATCAAGTAGTCTAGTAAGCTAGTATAGAAGAGTTCACAGGAAATATGGTAGAGGTATTCCTGAGAAACTTATTCAGCATCAGAAGTCAGTTTCAAAGCCGTTCTCTTACAGTCTTTCTCTTGACTATAACCTAACAGAATGTGCTACCACAGTAAGAAAAAGTACCCAGCCACAGACGGAAATAGTGGTACTGTCCATCCAAGCACTACATGTTTGTGGCTGTAGGTGGGTAAGGATACCGGAAAGTTTAACCTACTAACTGTGAGCATACATACCAGCTTACCTTAGCCTGTTCAACTATATCGTTGCTTTTTCATTCTACATAGGCTATTGTAAGTACAGAAACATACTTCATTTCTCTCAAATTTCAAACTATTATCTGTCAGTAGATAACTATGTCTCATATTTCACAAAGCCATCAGACGGGACTCCTTTAATTTCCCAATACTAATTATACCATGCTTGCCTATATTTCACCTATCCATCTTCCACTAAGGCCAATCATTCAAACGTGCATAGACTGTAATTCTTTCCCTTCCTGTTTTGTTTCTGGGATCTTACAATATTGATTATTCTATGTGTTATAAATTCATTCATCTCTCACAACCATGAGAGATGTAAACTTCATGAAGACAGATACCTTGTCCATCCTATTCATTGCTATATTTTTGATGCCTAGTACACAGTAAGTGCTCAAAATTATTTGTTGAAGGCAAGAGTAAATAAATGAATATAAGGCTAGACAGGACTAATCTGTAAGAGGTCTTCTATTTCTGAAGTTCTATAATTCTACTTGGAGAGTATCAGGTGAGACAATGGATTTCTGACTTAGGGTTAGAGGCATCATTAAACTTCAGTAATACTTCCCTAGATAAACCTAATATAATTTTTCTTCATCTTTGACTTTACTTCAAATACATTCACTTTACATTTTGAGCCTCAAAACGAAATAACTGAAATAGAAAACGACAACAACAAATTATGCTTACTCTTCTTTCCATCCATATCTGCATGGATTTTCCGAGCCAAGAATCCACTCTTGTATACAGCAGCATTTGGGTCATGAGGAATGTCTAAGAATGGGTTAGTAGTACTCCCAATACGACTGATGGTCTTTGGATGTGTTCCATTAGCCTTCTCATCAGTACCTTCAGATGGAGATTTTTTTTTCTCTTCATCATCTCTAAAGGGAGAGAACACAGTTTGAGCACCTAACACAATATTCAGTGAAAAAAGTTTAGTGTAATATACTATCATGTTTTCCAATAGTCCATCAGTCTTGATAAAAACACTGTAATAATAGCTCTTACTATGTGTCTTTGTGTCAAGTATTAATGTTCATAACAATCTTGTAAGATGGATATTAGTATCCTATATTACAGATAAGAAAGCAGACTCAGAGAGTTTAAATAAATTCCCAAGGCCACAGATCTAGTAATCAAAGAGAGAGATGGTAAGGATATGACTGCAAAATCTCTAAAGCCTTTGCTCTTCCTACCAACTTCATACCTTCTTATCTTATTCATATGCTTCATATCTGTCTTCTTTCAAAAGAGGATTCTTTCACAGAAATCATTTGATTTTAATTTTTACATGTTTTAGCACATCACCAAATACACAGAATACAATGAATAATTATAGATTAAGTACAATGAATAATACTGAACCACATCCACCAAATAACCAGGTTAATATCTTACTGAAACCCCCAGCAAAGCTATCAATGTGATAGGATGGTGGTGTCATTTAGTACTTTGGCATCTTCTAGCTACTATTTTCTCAACTGCCATAAAAGTATGGGGGCACCACTGAGAAAATCAACTGTCCGTCTTTTGTGAATCTGTTTCTTTAAGCAGGGCAAATCTTGTAATGTACATTTAGTATGAAGGAGGCAGATAACGGATGGTTATATTCAATTAATAAAGAGAGGTGAAAAGAAGATGAAAGCTAATAAATTGATATGATGCTGAAAAATACACCACCGAATTAAGAACATTTGTCTTAGTTCACCTGTTTGAATTTCCTGGCTCACCTGTTTTTATTGCTTAGTAGACATTCATTATTAAAGATTCTTAATTAAACTTCAAAATAACCAGCACGAAAATATATTTAAAATAAACCACAAAATTAACAATTATCAAAGGTGTATATTTGGTGATCAAATTAAAAATGTGGTTTCTTTTTTCATTGCTATTTGATTATTATAAGATAATCTTTTTTCTTGCTGCTTTAAAATTTTTTTATCACTACATTTGGTAAATTTAATTACAATATGTCTTGGTGTTGGCCTGTTTTTGTTGCTTTTGATGGGAGTTCTCCGTGTCTCCTGGATCTGGATGTCTTTTTCCTTCCCAAGATTAGGGATGTTTTCATTTATTCTTTGCTCAAATAAATTTTCTGCCCCATTTTCTGCATTTTCTGTCTTCTTCTTTTGTCACTCCTATAATATGTTATTATGCTTGATGGAACCACGGAGTTTTCTAAGTCCATTCTCATGTTGCATAATTCTTTTGTTCAGCTTCATTTCTTTCAATTATTTTGTCTTCTAAGTCATCGTTCCTCTACTACTTACAGCCTGCTGTTTATTGCATCAGGAATGATGCAAGAACATCAGGCCCTGGATGTGTCCTGGCCCTGGAGATTCAGGGATTTTTTTTTCTGGGGTGTGCTGTCTCTGTTCTGCTATTGTGTTTGGCTGCTGTATCCTTCAGGCTGGTCTTCTGCAGAGGCTCTCCTTGCCTTCTATGAGCAGTGTTTGTTCCATGGCCTGAATGTGGCAGGTTGTATGTAAATTTGTATTGGTCTGCTTATAAAATGAGACCTGACACAACCTCCTCCAGAACACTGGTCAGTAGACATGGTGTGGGCAGTGGTTTCTGCTGGTCACCTGGGGTTGGCGCCTGACATGCTGGGAATGAGGCAAGCTTACCTGATAAGGGCAGTCCCATCATAATGTAGCGAGTTGGGGCCTGGTATATGCAAGTTAGGCAGCCAGTGTTGGCAATATGCTACTTCCTATAAGTGGTTCTGTTTTTGCTGAGGAGCCAGGGATGGAAATGGCACTGGCCAGCGCCTTTGTTCCTGAAGAAATATCTCTGTGAATGCTGCCCTTTAGGCACATGCCCCAAGAAGAGTGAATAATCTCCCTCTTGGGAGCCCCAGGCATTTTTCAGATTGCTGTTTCTATAGTGCTGCCTTTCTGGTTGGTTTGCCTGCCTTCTCTCCAGGAGCAGCATTGTGCCCTCTGGGCTGTATCCCAGCAAAGCCCCCTGACCATTAAAAATCCAGGCTTTTGGGTCACCTGGGAGGCTTAGTTGGTTAAGTATCTGGCTCAGGTCATGATCTCAAAGGTCATGGGTTGGAGCCCCGCATCAGGCTCTATGCTGACAGTGGAGAGCCTCCTTCAGGTTCTCTGTCTCCCTCTCTCTCTGCCCCTTCTCCCTTGATCACTCTATCTTAAAAATAAACATTAAAAAAAATACAGGTTCTAAGGAAGTTCTCATGACATCCAGTCTGTCTTGTTTTTCAAATCAATGGCTTTGAGGAAATATTCTCCTTGTGTGTTCCCTGTTGTTCCTCTCTCTCTCTCTCATCCTTCTCTGTGACCACAACTCTCTCCCCTCATAGCACCTGGAATCAGGTTCTCTGCTAAACCACACCTCTGTACTTGCTACCTTCTTTGATGGGGATTCTTCTCTCCCTTAAGTTGTGGAGTGTGTTGTCAGTCTTCATGTCAATTTCTGGGTTATTTAGGATGATTCGTAAGTTATCTAGTTGTGTTCCTAGGGCAAAATGAGCCTAGGGTCCTCCTAGTCTGATGCCGTCTTCCTCTCCCTCTGGAATTACTGATTTATGCAGGTAAGAGATTTAATTATTTATTAATTTATTTTAAACTAATGGTCACTATTGATTTTCACAAAATTATCTTCTGAAGACTGCAAAAATTCCTTGAAAATTATAATTTATTACTGTATGGATCAGATTTCCTCTTTTTAAAAAAAATTTACTGTTTTATTTATTTCTGAGAGAGAGACACACACACACAGCATGAGCAGGGGAGGGTCAGAAAGAGAGGGAGATACAGAATCTGAAATAGGCTCCAGGCTCTGAGCTAGCTGTCAGCACAGGGCCCAACGCGGGGCTCGAACCCACGAACCATGAGATCATAACTTGAGCCGAAGTCAGATGCTTAACTGACTGAGCCACCCAGGCGCCCCTCAGATTTCCTCTTCTATGTTGCTTTATTAAAAAAATTTTGAGGGGTGCCTGGATGGCTCAGTTGGTTAAGGGTCCAACTTTGGCTCAGGTCAAGATCTCACGGTTCATGGATTTGAGTCCCGTGTCGGGCTCTGTGCTGCAGCTGACTCAGAGCATGGAGCCTGCTTCAGATTCTGTATCTCCCTCTCTCTCTGATCCTCCCCTGCTCACATTGTCTCTCTCTCTCAGAAATAAATAAAACATTAAAAAAAAATTAAAAAAATTTTTTGAGTGTAGTTGACTATTTAATGTGAGATATTTAAATTACACAGTATGAGGATTTAATATATATCATGAAAGGAGTCCCTCATTGAGTTAACACACTCTTCACCTCACATATTTACATATATATACATATATTTTGTGTGTGAAGATATTTAAATTCTAGTCTCAGAAAAATTTCAATTATTTAATATACTGTTATCACCTGTACTCAACATGGTGTATACATTACTTCCTTAGACTGTTTCTATCTTATAACAGAAAAAATTATATTCTTTTACCACCTGTTCCCTACTTCCCTCACAACTCAACTCCTGAAAGTGACTTATGTTCTTCATTGTTGTGAATTCAACTCTTTTAAAATTCCACATATTACAATATCACAAGGTATACCGTGTAATTATCTCTTTTTGTCTGTCTTACTTCAATTAGCATAATGGCTTCCAGATTCATTCATGCCTGCTGCCTATGACAGAACTTCACTTTTTAATAAGGGTGCATAATATTCCACTGTGTATATATAGTTGTATCCATACACTTGTAGATAGACATTTAGGTTTTCCCCATACTTTAGATATTATAAATAATTCTGCTATAAATATGAGATACAGGCAATTGTCTCAGAGAATTATTTTGTGTTCTTTGGCTATATATTCAGAAGTGGGATTATTGGTAGTTCTATTTTTAATTTGTTGAGAAACCTCCATGCTGTTTGCCATAGCAGCTGTACAGGTTAACATTCCACCAACAGTATAAATATCTTTTACCATTTAGTAGGTTGCCTTTTTATTTTGTGAATGGTTTCCTTTGTTTGTTGTATGGAACTATTTAGTTTGATATGGTCTCACTTAATTTTGCTCTTGTTCCTAAATATAAAAATTCACTATCAAGGCCAATGTCAAGGAGCATACTCTTTAGGTTTTCCTCTAGGGGTTTTATGGTTTCAGGTCTTACGTTCAAAGATTTTATACATTTTGAGTTGATTTTTGTGTAAAGTAGAAGATAGAGGTCCAATTTCATTCTTTTCCATTTGGATATCCAATTTTCCTAAAAATCATTTATTGGAGGAATAATCTTTTTCCCATTGTATATTCTTTTCTGTCTTGTCAAAAATTAATTGAACAAATTCTATGAGTTTATTTCTAGGCTCTTTATTCTGTTCCATTGATCTGTGTGTCATTGTTTTTTTTTATGTCAATATCAAACTGTTGATTACTACAGATTTGTAATATTGCTTGAAATCAGGAATTATAATGCCTCCAGCTTTGTTTCTGAAGATTGCTGTGGTCAGATACCACAAAAAGGGAACTATGGTCCAGTATCTCTCATGAATATAGATGCAAACTTCTCAACAAAATATTAGAAAAGTAAAGCCAACAATATATTTTGAAAAATCATGCATCATGATCAAGTGGGATTTATTGTGAGCATGCAAGTGTGGTTCAATATTTGCAAAACAGTCAACAAGATACATTACAGCAATAAGAGAAAGGATAAAAAACACATTTCAATAGATGCAGAAAAAGCTTTCTATGAGTACAACTTCCATTCATGACAAAAATCCTCTGCAAAGTCTTTCTAGAGCTAACATATCTCAATATAATAAAGGCTTCATATGAAAACCCATAGCTAAAATCATTCACAATGGAAAAAAATAAAAAGCTTTTCTGGTCAGGTGAGGAACAAAACAAGAATGTCCACTTT